TAACTGAGTTGCTAGAGAACTAGCACGTTTGCGTAATTTATAAAAATACTAAACACTGATAAATAAAATCTTTAAAGTTACAGCACCGCATACGTACATCTACACATTAGCTATTAAGTTTAGCAATTATTTGCTCAAGCAATGTTAACATCAAAACACATAAACGATCCAAACCATATATTTAATTGCACTATATAATATTTGATTTTTTAATTTAAATAATTATATATCAATCCAAATATTCTTTATATATTACAACAAATCCATTCCGTACATCGCACGGGTGAAAATACTAGTTAGGTTAATTGGAAAAGGAAATGAATATTAATAATTGACTGAAAATAAAAAATGATCCATAATTGACTAAAATGGAAAAGAAAATGTTTAGATCATTGCATTTTAATTTTTCAAAATAATATTACACAGTTGAATAAATCAAATCACAATTATATCATAAATCTTTCACAATTTTAAACAATAGAACATAAATTAAAAATGGAACGAAAATTAAAAATGGAACAAAAATATTTCAATAATAATATTCTACATCATCAAGTAAAGGTAAATTAAAAATGAAAAGGAAATATTTCAATAATACTCCGTAATATTTTGCACCATCAATAGTAATTAGTAAATGCATATTTTAAACAATAGTAAAGGTAAACTAAAAATGGAAAGAAAATTAAAATGGAATTGAAATATTTCAATAAAAATATTCCACATCATCAATTAAAATGGAACGGAAATTAGGTAAACATATATCTGCATCTGATATTCTAATTGACTAATTGATTGAAAAAAAAAAAAGAATAATTGGCTGAAAATGAATCTGATATTACTAATTGACTGAAAATATAAAAGAAAATAAATATTAATAATTGACTGCAAATAAAAAATGATCCTTAATTGACTAAAATGAAAAAGAAATTGTCCGATCATTGCATTTTAATTAAAAATAGAAGGGAAATATAAAAAATTTGTATGAAAATATTTCAATAATAATATTCTACATCATCAATATATAGTAAATGCATACTTTAAACAATAGTAAAGGTAAATTTAAATTAGAACGGAAATATTTCAATAAAAATATTCTACATCATCAATTAAAAATGGAACGAAAATTAGGTAAAAATATCACTGCATCTAATATTCTAATTGACTCAAAATGAAAAAGAATAATTGGCTGAAAATGAATATGATATTACTAATTGACTAAAAAATATAAAAGGATCCCTGATTGACTGATATTCTACCATTATATATTTTTACCCGAGTCACCCATCCTGATGGACTGAAGGTGTTAGCTCTTGACGAAGATGGACAAGATAATGTTGCTACTACCAATGTTGTCTACAAATAAGTTTCAATAATGTGTAAATACAATCGGTGATATTATGTTTTTTAAATGACAAAATTGCTATATATCTAGACAAAAAATATATTTTCCATTCAAATGAATTAGGATATCAATTCATTTTTATATTTGAGTTACTAGAGAACGAGCACATTTGCCTAATTTATACAAATACTGAACAATGATAAATAAAATCTTCAAAGTTACAGCGTCGCATGCGTATATCTACACATTAGCTATTAATTAATTTGAGCAATTATTTGCTCAAATTCAAACAATGATAACATAATAAAAAAACATACACGGTACGGTCCAAACTATACCTTCATTGCACTATATATATATATATATATATATATATATATATATATATATATATATATATATATATATATATATATATATATATATATATATATATATATATATATATATATATATATATATTTATTTATTTATTTATTTATTTATTTATATTTGATTTTTTTTTTTTTTGCTTTCGATGAGGGGGGATACCCCAAAAACACTGGCTAGGACTCAAACACCCGTGTTGCTATGGGTGTTTCTCGCGACGTGCACTCCCAGCTTATCCAGCCAAATAGTCTCGGTGAACTCCTGGGGGATATCCGTCAACCTCCATAACCCAGGGCTTTTTGCTAGTGCAGCTGTAGCCATCTTGTCCGCCACTGTATTGCCTTCACGAAGAGTATGCTCAAAGACCACCCTTGGAATCTTCGCGGCCTCAGTCCGGCATCTTCCCACGATATTGTTTAAGAGCGACGAGTCATCGGCGCTCTGGCGCAAAATCTCCACTAGCCTCTTCGAGTCACACTCCACAACGAGTGCCGTTGCTCCGTACTCATTGGCCATGCGCAGTCCTTGCCACACCCCCCATGCTTCTGCCTCAAAAGCTTGGCAAATGCCTATGTTAAACAAAAAAACCCCGGCACCAATCTCCTCTGGAATCCTGTAGCAGACCACCGCAACCGGCCAGACCATTCCCCTTCCGGCATCCGTCGACATTGAGCTTCAGCCACCCCTCAACTGGTGCCGTCCACCCCACCTGAACCTCCATTTGCGTCCTCCTTCTCGCGGTTTGTACCTTGCGTGCATTAAACGCCGCCTTGGTTTCCCTATCATAGCGTGCAAGCCATTCAATCTTCTGTCCAAGAGCCATCGTTTGGGATTTGAAAATCTCATCATTGCGCCAGTGCCAAAGCCACCAAAGCCTGGTGCAGAATCGTTCCGGCCAGTTCTCTCCAAAGCCTTGCTTCGCCTCTCCGTTCAGATTCACCTCCAGCCACTCCCTCCATTGCATCGTTCTGAGTCGGTCATTCGTGCACCAATGAACAGCGTCCTCCCATATGCTCTCTGCCGCCGGGCAGAACCGGAAAAGGTGGTTTAAATCCTCTGCCTGTCCTGCACACCGAAAACAAGAAGAAACAAATGTTAATTTACGTCGAGTTCTCTCCATGTTAGTCATAATACGCCCGTGTCGAACTAGCCAGATAAACATGCAAACTCTCGCTGGAACGCGGAGGCGCCATATTTTTCTCCATTGCCCGTCTATGGGTGATGCCGTGTTGTTTACGACTAGCTTGTATACCGAACGAACAAAGAATTGCACGTTATCTTCCAGACCCTACCCGACTTTGTCTTGGGCAAGATCCTCCGCAAGCACATAACTCATCAAACGATGCTTTGTGGTCATCGGCAAAATGCCTTCCAGGGATTCCCACTTCCACCCGCGGCCTTCGTCCCAATAATCCCTAACATTTGCGTAAAGGTCAGGCAACGGAAGCGGGGTGTTAAGCTGTGAATACAAAGGCAAAGGTGTGATCCACTTGTCCATCCAGAACTTGGTACTCCTCCCGTCGCGCACCACTTGATTGGAACCTGCTGTAACGAAGCTCCAGGCTGCTACAATGCCACGCCACGCATTTGATACGTTTCGTCGCCCGGTCGTGCCACATTGCGGTGCCCCCGTCAGCTTGTATTTTGAGCTTAACGTCCTCGCCCAAAGACTATCGGTCTCCGATCTGAGCCGCCAGCCGAGCTTTGCCATATAAGCCATATTCATCTCGTTCATCCGTTTCACTCCCAAGCCCCCAGCATCTATCTCTGTCATGACAAGATCCCAATTAACCAAACTCATTCTATGTTCCAGATTGTTCCCTCCCCAAATAAACTTCCTAGTCCTCTTCTCAATTTCTAGGCCAATGCTTCTAGGAAGGGCTGCCGTTTGCATAATATATGCAGGAATTGCGTTGAGGACGGCTTTCGCAAGAACAACTCGCCCTGCCATGGATAACGTCCGTGCTTTCCAACCTTCCAGGCGTCCCGATATTCTGTCAAGGAGGTCCGAAAAGGTGGCACACGTGATCCTCCCATGGAAAGCTGGGACACCCAAGAAACGACCCATATCATTCGTGCGAGCAATGTTTAATTGCCTGGCGATGCTGTCAGCGTCGTTGCCATCCATATTCTTTGAGAAGAACACCTGTGACTTCGCCAGACTGATACGCTGTCCCGAGTCCCTACAGAACCGGTCAAGACAGTCTTTGACAACTCCGACCTGCTCACTTGTAGCCTCTGTAAAAAGGACCATATCATCTGCAAAACAAAGATGGGTTAGTGTTGGGCCAGTAGGTGCAATTTTAATACCTTTCCACCTGTGATTGTCCGTCGCAGAAACGATCATCTGACTGAGCCTCTCCATGCATAAGACAAAAATCGCTGGGGACATAGCATCGCCCTGTCTGATGCCACGGCCCGGGCAAAAGGATTCTAACCGATCCCCATTCCAGATGACTGAAAGCCTGGAAGTTCGGACACAAGTCATGATGAGGTCCTTGATCGTGCCTGAAAAACCCGCCCATTCAAGGGTGTCCTGAATGTAATCCCAGGAAAGCCGATCATAAGCCTTTTCGAGGTCGAGCTTAATAGCCATGAACCCCTTCGCTCCTTGTTTCATCCGCATGGTATGCATTACCTCTTGGAAGATAATAACATTATCTGAAATCTGGCATCCCGGGACAAAGGAGCTCTGAAAAGGTCCTACGATCTCCGGGAGGATAAGCTTAAGACGGTTGGTGATTGTCTTAGTGATGATCTTGTAGCTCACGTTACATAGGCTGATGGGCCTGAACTGTTTGATGTTCTCTGGGTCTTTTACTTTAGGGATCAGTGCAATCAAGGTATTGTTTAGGCCTTCCGGAATGGTGCCACTTGCGAAAGCTCCCCTAACAAGAGCGTACACGTCCTCCCCAACTTTGTCCCACATGTGCTGGTAGAAACCTGCCTGGAAACCATCGGGGCCCGGGGCTTTAAAGGGCTTCATGTCTTTGAGGGCTTTGTGGACCTCGTCTCTTGTGACCGTTCTATTAAAAACCGTCCAATCCAAAGTCCGGAGGCGGGGGAAGGTTGCCTCCAAAAAATTATGTGCATCTCCATCCGGTTCAGGCGTGAAAAGCTTGATGTAAAACTCGCGTATATGTTCCCTCAACTCATCTGTCCCCGACAGCCACACACCGTTCTCGTCCATAAGTCTTTGGACAGAATTGCGGGATCTACGGATTGTAGTCGCGGCATGATAATAAGCAGTGTTACGGTCCCCAGAGCAGATCCAATCTTCCCTAGACTTCTAGAACCAAATGAGCTCTTCCTGATGGAGAATGAGCTCAAGTTCGTCCCTGAGCTTTAATTCCAGCTTTGCTAGGCCTTTGTGGTAATTTGCTGCCAAGGCCTTCTGGGCCCCACTGATCCGGGACATCAGGACTTTTTTCTGTTTAAACACATTCCCGAATGACTCCTTGTTCCATTTAGCCAGATCTTCTGCCAGGACTCGTGTGTTGTCCACAAAGCCTCTGGTTGAGTTCCATGCCCTCCCTACTACTTCATGCACATCTGTACGGGTAAGCCAGGCCGCCTGAAAGGAGAAAGGAACCGTGGATAGTCGCTGTCGCTGCTGACCAACCTGCAAAAGTAAAGGAGCGTGATCAGAAGCAAGTCGCGCTAAGTGAGTAATGCACGCACCTGGGAAATTGTTTCGCCAAGCGGTGTTACATAAGGCCTGGTCCAGCCGAGCGCCTTTGACGCGTTCCGCCGCCTCGTTCTTGACCCAAGTGAGTTTAGGCCCTGAAAAGCCCAGGTCTATGAGCCCCTCGTCCTGGATCCAGTTTCTGAAGTCCGCACTTCGATGCGAAGAGAAAGAGCTATAATTACTCGTCTCTTCACTATTAAGAACCGCATTAAAATCCCCCGCAACAATCCAGGGGCCCGTGATGCTGTTTTCGGCTTGACGAAGGTCATTCCACAACCGTCGGTGCAGATGGTGTGCCGGGCTACCGTAGACTGAGGCAAGGTACCATGGCGGGTAGCTACCTGAAACTACCTGCATAAGAATAAACTGGGGGTGAGTTCGGAGGACTGAAATCCGCACTGGATCTTTCCAAAAAACCCATATGCCGCCACTAAAACCGACTGCTTCAACTCTGATCCAGTCCGAAAACCCAATCTTTGTACATATGTCATTTGCGTGGGTTCCCGAAACTTTGGGTTCGAAAAGGCTTAGCATGCAAGGCTTATGCAGCTTAATGAAGTGTTTGAGGGCGCGAAGGAACGGCTTACCACCCGCACCCTGACAATTCCAGAACATGTAGTCCATAAACAAACATCACAAAAATGGATTGATAGACAAAGATAAAACAGAAAGGCCAAAAAGACACAAACGCAAAAGCAAAACCACACTCGGGGTGCTCAGAGAGCAACCCCGTTACCTCCATCCTCGCGCTGGCCCAAGACTCCTTCGAGGTCCATGACAACATCTCCTTCATCATCAAACTGCTCCGGGGGGTCCCCATGGTGCTCCGTAGGGTGGTGCCAGACCGGTGAAGGTGCAATCCCGCCAGTGTCGCCAACGTACACCCGCGATGACCTGATCACCAAACCGCCTTGCGTGCCCCGGACAACCACGTGCTCATCTTCCTCCGCTGCCTTCCTCGAACCACCCCCTGTGTGCCGACTTACTTTGGGCATGGATACCCTTGCACTGGACGAGGACCCCTGCGCCACTACGGGCTCATTCATTATTTGTTGCTCCCTGGCAATGACATTTGGTCGTCACAGTCTTGCTCCCCCGCCTGCATTTGGCGCCACTCGTGAACTTGAAGCTCTTCGAGATGCGCCCACGTCCTCCGCTTGTCCCTCCTCGATGCCTCCACCATCTTTCTCCTGGCCATCCGCCCTCTCCTCTTCCGCCTCTGCCACAGTCTCCTCCTCCATTAGCGGCGCAAATTTGGACACTTGGACAGGCATTCCATCTCCGAAAACTGCCCCCTCCCTCCGGTCCGAAATGTTGCGATTAGCCCTGGTAGATTACTTCGCTATGTTTCTTCCCCTTCGCATTGGAGCGATCATCCACGTCCCAAAGGGGACTTTGGGATCCAGCATTTCAGAAGTCACGTTCGGAGGGTGCCTGGCATGAGCCGGTTGCATGTGATCTGCCTTATCCGCCTCGGCTTCTTCCATTGCACCTTCCCCCACGCTAGTTGTCGTTCTCAAGGCTGGGCAAGAATCCTTCGCATGCCCATATAAACCACACGAAAAACAAACTAAATGCATACCTTCGTAAGCCATGTGCCTGATCTTCCCCTCGTAAGTGAACTTCGACACCAGGGGCTTCCTCATGTCGAGTTCGACACACATCCTGGCAAACATGCCCCGAGACACCAAGCTAGTAGCTTGATCCACCCTAATAACTCTTCCAATGCGGTTTCCCAATTTCCTGAGAAAAATATAGTCAAAGTATTCAGCAGGCAAATCAGGTACACGAACCCAAACCAGTACCTTTTCTGTTTTGTCATTGTAGGGATCAAAATCTGGTTCCCAGGGCTTCACGATCAAATAGTGTTCCAGGATCATCCAGGGACCCTCATACATAGTGAATTCGAGATCGTCCACCGATCCGAAACGCACCAAAAAGTAGTCGTTGGCTATCGCGATCAAGTCCATGCTACCCTTCGGCTTCCACATTGTTGACAGTCTCCGAAGGAGGTACGCGTATCCCACCCGTCTTCCCAACACTTTGATGATCAAAGCCTTTCTCCAAGGAGCTCGGATCGCCGCCACCTCGGTTTTTGTCAATCTGATCGTTGGACAGAGTGGGTCGTCGCTCTCCTCCGCTGCATCATCGAAAGACTCTGCTTCTGGTTCATGAAGATCGCGACTGGTTTCAGGATCAACCAGATCGCAACCTGCCAGACTCTCTGCGTATGTTCTCCTCGGCGCTTCCGGCGAGCGGGGTGCCCCTTGGGCCATCGCGGAAACCGGCAGTGTCTCCTCAAGGTGATCCGTCGACGTAGCTCCATCGGCCAGCACCACCATCTCATCAGACGGCGTCTCATGCACTACTTCCACCTCCTCCATGCTCTGCCCCCCATCTCGTCCGATCTCTGCATGCGCCGACTGCATGGAATCACACCGTTTATGCTTCTTCGTACTCCGTACTAGGAGATCCAAATCCTCCGACGATCGTTGCTCTGAAAAGGTTCCCGTTCTCTCCATTTTTCTCTCTGCTGGCGTCTATTATTACTATGGATGGCTACGTCATTGGGTTTAGTCTTCATATTTAGTTATATTTGATGTTCTAATTTAAATAATTATATATCAATCCAAATATTCTTAATATATTACAATAAATCTATTTCGTGCATTGCATGCGTGAAATTAAAATATTAGTAAATTTGAAATGTAAATTTTTCTTATTTTTGAAATGAAAAAAAAAAAAAAAAAAAACTCCATAATTAATCATCATTGTCATTATTTACAAATTTCAACTTATCATATCTATCTACCCTAACAACCTAACTATCTACCCTACATGAGGTCCATATCTGCTTACCTATCTACCCACCATTATAATTACATTCATTAACATTTAACATATTCTTTTACTTTATCCACTATAACATGTATATCTTATTTATTCTCTGTCTACTTATCTTAGCATAATAACCTATTTATATACACTTAATTGTTGATTTTGGTGAATAAATCGACACACTAAATATATATAAAATGATATATATTTATACGAAAATAAAATTTAATTTGTAGAAAATTAATTCCAACTAATTTTTGACACAAAACCAAAAATAATATATATTTACGAAATATATATTAAAAAAATAGAGATTTACATTGTCAAAAATAATCACACCACAACTAGTAAAAGGATTTTTCAAAAGCTAATATATACCTGCATGCATAGTGCACTGTAAACCCTGGTCCAATACACAGAATTTGACTTCATAAGATACAGAATTCATGTTCACAATGCAAAGAATTCATGTTTATAATACAAATACACATAAACACGAGATAATGAACATGAATTCCGTGCATTATGATCATGGATTCTGTGTATTATGTTAAATGTTTATGTGTCCTCAACTATATAATACACAGAATTCATGTTCATAATACACAGAATTCATGTTCATTATCGTGTTTTTGTTTATGTGTATTATGAACATGTATCTGTACATTATAAACATGAATTCTATCTATTGGATCAAAGTCCACGATATAACAATTGTAGACTAGTCAATCATTAGTGTGTGGACCATATTTTGTATACTATAAAATAATGTATATTTAGATAAAAATAATAATGTATTTTTAGTATATTAAAAATGTACTTTGTATTAAGAGAAAGTACATTATTTGTGTACTGAATTGTACATTATTTTACATAATATATATTCAGTACACAAATAATGTACTTTTAATATATTAAAAATGTACTTTCTTTTATGCTCCATACAACACTACGCAAACCATGGCCCACACAATAATTTGCCTAGACCAGTGTTACAGGCTTATATTACTAGCCCAATAAACTAGTATTAATCTTTATGGACCGAACAAGCAATTACGATCCATAGTGGCAATCGTTATATCCTACACCACGGCGTACATAGCACTGTGCGCCGCGCGCCTCCCAAAACGACGTCGTTTTGGGAGGCGCGGTAGGAAGTTGTTGAGATTATGTGTATCCGTTCATACAATTATGTGTATTCGTTCATACAATTATGTGTATTTGTTCATACAGTTATGTACATTTTTTATACAATTATGTACATTCTTTTTATACAATTATGTACATCCGAATCAGAAAATTTGTGTGTATTATGTTAAGAGTTGATGTATATTATGTTAAAAGTTTATGTTTATTATGTATTATGTTAGATTATGTGTATTATCTTTTAAAAAGAGTATGTATATTTTGTTATATAATTATGTACATTCATGTATACGATTATGTGTATTCTAGTATAACATTATGTACATTTTTGAACAGCGGGTTTTTTTTAAAGAAAAAATTACTGCCATTCACTGGGGCGGGAAATTTTTTTAAAAAAAATAAATTAAAACGACGTCGTTTTGCATCTGGCGCACAGTACAACGCGCACCGTGGTGTAGGATATAAATTGCCCCATAGTGGGGATTGTAATTATTTGTGCTCTTTATCAATTTTATCCGGAACTTTTCAGTTATATGATGGACTAGTGGACCTAGTCCAATAACCATCAAATACCATAGAAAAATATCAATAGTAATACCATAGACCTGTGTAAACCTTGCAATGCAAGGTGAATTCAAATTTAAAATACACAATTTACATATTGAATGTTTACAATTTATATATTTAATGCTCACAATTTACATACTAAAAGTTCATAATTTACCTTTTACAGAATTCTGAATATTCAGTATGTAAATTGTGTATTTTGAACTTGAGTCCACCTTGCAAGGTGGACTCAGGTCTACAAAATAATTTGCTAAAAATATGTGATATTAATAAGAGAAAATGAGGGTCTACTCGGATAAGGCGATCAGCAGTTCCTAGTTATTATGTTTCGTATCTACAAGAATCTGGCATAGGGGCCGAAAATGATCCTGAAACATTCTCTCAAGTCACAAATTGTGCACAATCTGACTTATGGTTACAAGCCATGAAGGATGAAATGAATTCCATGAAGGACAATGGAGTTTGGGATCTTGTTGAGTTGCCTAATGGGGCCAAGGCCATTGGCTGTAAATGGGTTTTTAAGACTAAAAGAAACTCATTAAGCAACATTGATAAATTCAAGGCCCGACTACTTCACAGGGTGTTTGGCTAAAAATTTTTATCTCTGGGCTTAGTATATCTAAGCCATTGAAAGCCTACTGTGACAACTCAGCTGCAGTCTTCCTAGCTAAGAACGATAAAAGTGAAAGTCGAACTAAGAACATCGACATCAAGTTCTTAGCAATTAGGGAGCGTGTCAAAAATAAAGTTGTATTCATTGAACACATTCATACTGAGTTGATGTTAGCAGATCCCTTGACTAAAGGCATGCCTCCATATAAATTCAAGGATCTGATTCAGAAAATGGGACATACGATGTGTTTGGTTTATAAGAAATGTTTTATTGGGATAATGTTTTTCCTCAAATTTGAAGAAAAACATATTTTACTTTGGTGGATGGAAATTTATTCGATCCAATGAAAGATGAATTTTTGGTTCTTTTTTGAAATTTTATTTTCTATACTTTTTGGAAGAAAAGTTACAACATGAAATTCTATCTTTATTATGTAAGGATATTTGAGTTTTTATAGTAATTATTCCCAACAATTTATTTCACACTAATCAATGGAATCAATATTTCAAATAATATATTTTTCTATAAAATTTGAATTTTACGAACCAAATCTTCAATTATGGAAAAATAAATGACTCAGCCCTTCAACTGTGGGAGCAATTTTTATGCCGTGGAACCATATCCACCTTGTAAGGTAGACATGATTTTATGTTCATAATTATAAAACTCTATGTTTATAATTTTTGAACTTCATATTCACAATTATTGAACTCTATATTCACAATTACAGAACTCTATGTTCATAATTTTTGAACTTCATATTTGCAATTATTGAACTCTATATTCACAATTACATAATTTTATGTTCATAATTATAGAACTCTATGTTTATAATTTTTGAACTCTATATTCACAATTATAAACAGTTTTGGAACCGTGTTCACCTTGTAAGGTAGACACGGTTCCGTAGCATAATTTGCCCTGTGGGAGGTTTACATTTAACCCCTCAATTATGATCTTAGTGACGAGTATATTAGATAGCCTTCAATTACAAAGTTTGTGATATATCAACGTCCCTCAAATCCCCATACGCCTATTTTTTTCATTGATCGAGATGATAAATGAAGTTAGGGGCTAAATATGGAGATCTTCCATGATTGAGGATTTGAGTCACTTATTTTCTTATTATGAGAATTATAACTTATGGATATCTTAAATATGGACCTGATCAGACTGAAGAATTTAAACAGACTCGAAGAGAAATGGAATACCGATTCGGGAGGAGACGAACCTATTCAGATGAAGTTGACCCCAAATTTGGCCAAAGGTGGTCTGGCTCGAGGCCAAAGGGTTGGGTCGACGCCACGAGGTCGGCCTAGACGGCTGCACGACACCACAACTAGGGTTGTAACTACCTGTCCCGAACGGGCGACACTCGAGTCGCATAGGCAGTTGTCTGAGAGATGTATAAATTGCTTTGTATTTGTCTTGTTTTTTTTGAGTTAGATCATGAGGTGTCATGAGGAGACCCTAACTGTAAAATGCACCTTTAAGCTCGTACCATACTCAGACTAATCCACATTCGCACCGGGTTGGCCCAGTTAAGGGGCAAAGTGCTAACAATATTGTATCTGATCTGTCTTGTTAGGACATCATTGGTACTCTCTTTAAAAATCAATATAATCCCAAGACTATCTTGTTTCTTTCAAAGACTTATTTGTCACTTACATTTCTTGTTCTTTATTTAAGCAGGTTTATTAGTTTAAGGTGTTCGAATTATTTTTCTCCATCAATATAAGTACCATTTTCTTTAACAACAATACCAACAATAATAATAGTTTTTGTAAAAACTTTTCGAATCTAACATCATCATCAAACCTAATAAATCAACAAATTAAACCTCACACCCACACCTAAAAGTCGTTATTACACAAAGGTGTTCTTAAACAATAAAACATGGAATACCAAGCTGACCTCGGGCAATGACGATCCAATATATGCAAGTTGAATCTGAGGTTTAATTAGTTTGTCCCTTTTCCTCTTTATGAATGGAAACCGTTAGGATGTCAATTCATGTATGGATAATCTGTGCACCTACCAAGCCTACCAATTACAGCACTCTTGAAATTCATTACTTCTTGGGCATGTGAGCATGACTTCTGCATTCTAACCCCACTTTGACTTGCCCTTGATTCCATCATTTCATTTAATGACACCCTCTTCCTTCTGGGCCCGGGCCCTAGCTCGGGCCGTTGTTTCGGGGCACTTTGGGACCTCAATTTCGACATGAATGATTGTGTGCTAGCCATGTATTTGGGGTAGCCCTCGTAGTTCCTGAAATATGGTTCCATAAACATACTTTTAGACAACGTGATCGGGTTGTTGGATCCCCTGACATTGGCAAACCTTGGGGTGGTTTGGGCCGTCGAAAAACGGTATTCATCACTAATTTGACTCGTATCTAAATCTTGAAAATCTTGACTGGTCGAGATTTTATAGGGAAGTGGTGAGGAGTGCGGAGGGCCAAATGGGTTGCCTTGAAACTCAGGCACCCAAGTCTTGGACCTTCTTGATTTCCTAGATGCCTTGGGCGTAACCGAAGTGTCCATCTCAACCACTTTTGTGATTACATCATTTTCACTTCCAAGTGATGCAAAATATCGTCCACTATGGACTGATGTAATGTTCTCACTTCGTGCTTCTTTATTTTTGTCCTACACCATAGTATAAAAGAATTCAATAAAGAGATAATATCATATAGAGTCATTTGAGTATACTGATTTTACCATGTTTAGTCCTAACATTCAAATTGACCACTTGTGGTCCTTCAACTTTCAAATTATTACCATCTGTAGTCCAAGTTTATCACTCATGTTCTTTCAACTTTCAAAATTTAACCAGATGTAGTCCTTCAGAAGGGACATAGGTGGATAGGTGGTTAAAATTTGATGGGTTAAGGACCATAGATGGTTAATTTGGATCACGGATGATAATAATTTAAAAATTGAAGGGACCATAAGTAGTCAATTTAAAAATTTAAGACTAAATGTGAAAAAATCACTATATACTTGGATGATATTAATTCATTCAATAAACTATCTACAATAAATTAAATTTATAAAATTTTTATATATAGTATTGTATCTCTAAAGTACACATCTAGCTAAGACCTAAGGGCAGAAAGTTGAGAGTAATATAATTGCGTATGATGCACCCCCTTCTATTTGCTATTGAAACAAAAGAGTCAACACCCTATAAATGAATTGTCAATTGCGACATTAGGTGAAACTTTTTACCTGATATATGCAGTAGTGGTACTAATTCCAAAATCAAAAGACAAGGGAAAATGATACTTTTTTCCCCTGAGTTATATACCTATAACACTTTTTCTCCCTCAATTATTGAAGTGACTGTTTTTCCCCCTGAAATGTTAAATGGACATATTTACCCTTAAAATAAATATTTAAAATAAATATTTTATTTATTTTTCTTCTCCAACAAATTATGACCATAATTTGGTTCAAACCGAACAAACACTATAACAACCAAACCGAAATATTCCAATTACAATTTAGAATCGAAACCCGATATTTAAAACTTATTAAAATCGCGAACCAGAACAGACAGTTCATGTTCCAAACTGAAAAAATGAAATACATTTATTGTTGAATTTAGACTATTTTAAAATAAAAATTTAAAATTTAAAATAAAGACGGTTCAAAATCGCGAACCGGATCCGGAACCCCCGGTTCACGGTTCAGCCGTTCAGGATCCAATTTGTTTGATTCATAATTTTAATAAATTAAAATCCAAATGTTGGGTTATAGATCTGAATCATAATCAGAAATTTTTAATTCGATTGCTTTAGTGTCCGGTTCAGTTCGAACCGAACCGTGGTCATCCCTACGTATACGCAATAATTTGTTGGAGAAGTAAAATAAAAAAATGTTTACTTTAAGGGTAGAAATGTCAATTTAATATATCAGGGGGAAAAACCACCACTTTTAGAATAATTGAGGAGACTAATGTGCTTACCTAAATAATTGAGGGGGAAAAAGTGTTATAAGTATGTAACTAAGGGGGAAAAAGTGTCATTTTCCCTATTTGTAAAAAAACAAAAATGATAATGCAAAAAATACAAGAGTATTCTCATAAAATTTCATTTTAAACGAAAATGTAATGCTTTTTAAAAGAGTTAATTTCATTTTCGGTCCTGTATTATGGGTGTCAATTTACTTGTAGTCATTTTTTTTTTTTTTCAAAACATCCTCCTTTGATCTTAGTATTATTGTGCATGACCATTTTTGGTCATTTATTAATAAAACAGTTTAAATGCAGATAAAGACAAGGGCATTTCTGTCTTCATTTATGATTTTGTTTTAAAATAATAAACATAAAAAATATACATACGGGTCATTGCACTATATATAAAAAAGATCAAAATGTCATTGTATTTAACGGTATTTCAACGATTTGTTGATGGAGGATGAAAAATAATCATGCCACAAAATAATAGGACCAAATGGAGATGTTCTGATAAAAAAAAAAAAAAAATTAAAAATAGACTGTCATCTATAAATCTATGACTAAAAATGAAATTAACTCTTTTTAAAAATATAATTAATTTTATTTTTAATAACTTATTTATAAATATTTTTTTTTTCACTTTCTGTTCAGCCAAAATGATGTGCAATTATTGATAGTAGAACAAAAACTGTCCCAACCGGAATAATGCCCATTTTCAATAACGTGGGCCACTGTTATTCATAATGATGATCAATACCAAAAATATATCTGAAAAGTGAAAATACTTTTCAAAATAAAGAGAGCATTTTCGTTGATTTATTAAATATATTCAAAATTAATTAATATTATATTTTGTGATTGTAATACATTATTCCTTACTCATCATTTCATATGTAGGTCACATATGTATAATTAAATAGTCTATTTGGAATAAAAAAATTTAAGGTATAATTGTTGAAAACTCATAAATATATTCCTAGTTTAATGATAGGCAAAATTTTTGAATTAAATATATTAAAATATAATACATTTTAATAACCCGCAAGCCCGCAAACCATACAAGAAAGATACTAAAATATTTGTGTTATTGTATAAAGGGTCAGGGTCTCCAATCTTAGGTATGCAATATATCTCTCCATCCCCGCCAAGAGAAATAATAAGAAAAACTTACTCTACTATTTGAAAGGTCATAAACCATAAATATCATCCTACCGAATTTAAGTAGGCTTCTAAAATTTATATGAAATTTAGAGTTCATGGGATTAAATTTAGGGAAAATCACAATTTTGATTCCCCAATTGTTTCCTAACTGTTAATATAGTCCCTAGTTTTCAATTTCAACTAATTTGATATTCGAATTGTTTAAAATTTCGTCAATTAAATCTTTTGAAGATCAAATCGACGAAATTTTAAAAATGAAGAAATCACCATTTTGGTCCCTATGAAGGGTTTAATTGACGAAATTTAAAACAATTCGAGGATCAAATTAGTTGAAATTGAAAACTAAGAACTATATTGACAATTGAAAAACAATTGAGGGTTCAAAATAGTGATTTTCCCTTAAATTTATTACTCCTGTAATATATTTTTCCTAACATAGAATTTTTATATAGAATCTAGTGATATAAACATGACTTACAATAGACTTTTGTGGATGATTGATGATGGACGGTCGAGATTTTTGGGCAAGAACAGTGGCTTGGGCTCTCATTAGAGCTTGCATGCTATGAAGTGTAGCAGAGGCTTGTTTCCGTACCAAATAGCCTCGTAAAAGTGCTTGGATTTTCACTAATCCTTTCAAACACCGTAGAGCTTTTCTTGCCTGTTTTGTAATTCCCAACAAAATAATCAAAATCCAACATAGAATTCATCGAAGAAATTTAGGTAATCTATAGGGTTTTCGAGATTACCAAGTAGCCCCGAAAAGCCGCTTGAATTTTGATAGCCGCCCACCTTTCGCGGCAAAACAGGGGCCCTCCTCTTCCTCTCTCTCGGCTGGCGATCCTGACCACGGCCGCCGCCGCCGCGTGGGCGGCGGCCACGGCGGCGTCTGCAGCCGCGGCGGTGGCGGCGGCCACCGCAATTGCGGCGTGGTTGCTGTGCTCCTCACCCCCGGAGGGACCGTAGAAAGAACTGAGCCACGCGGCCTCTGCGGGCGTTATGTTAGGAGGTATGGTGGTTGGGTTGTGGCACAATCCGGTTGCGGCGGTGGCGCCGCCGCTTCCTGATCGCCCGCCGTTGCTTTGCCTTGTCGTAAACAAACCCTTCAACCACTTTATAACTTTGCCCATTTTGCTTTCGTTTTTCAGGGATTTTATGTTGAACAAAGAGAAGAAAAGAAGTGTATTAAATTAATGAAAAATACAGAGAGAGTGAGATAGAGAGTTGCTTTAAATGTTTGAAAAATGAGGGAAGAAGAAAGAGAGTTTTGTTTAAACCTCATTATATATAGGCATTTTACAATTGGTAATAATTTCAACAAAACAAAATATTAGAGGTAAATAATACTCCATTATCTCATTTTAAATGAAACGAATTCTTTCTTCTTTACTAATTTTTTTTTTTAGTACTTTGAACTTAATTATAAAATTATAAAAAATTGAATTAAAAATAATTTCAATCAAACCTCATTAACCAAATCACACACATGAGATTAGGGGTGTAAACGAGCCGAGTCGAGCCCGAGCCTGGGTATGCTCATGCTCGTGCTCGTTAATGATAGCACTGCTCGAGCTCGTGAACTGATGCTCGAACTCGAGCTCGGCAATTGTCAAGCTGCTCGAGCTCGAGCTCGAATTCGAGCCTCAACTCGAGCTCGAATTTAGGCTCGAATTTGAGATCGAGTTTAGGCTCGAATTTGAGCTTAATTTTGATCTCGAATTTGACCTGTTTGATTTAAAATTTAAACTGCTTTGTTTTATGACTTTTATTCATACATAATTATTAAAGTATTTTAATTTCCCTCCCCCTAATTATTATTTTTATATACTAAATATAATATAATTATATTATATATTATATATTATATATTATATTATAAAGCTCGCGAGCGGCTCGTCGAGCCGCGAGCCTACAATATCTAAGCTCGACTCGTGCTCGTTTAATCCACGAGCTGCTCGAGCTCGAGCCGAGCTCGATTTTGACCGAGTTTTAGCCGAGCGTTGACCGAACCGCTCAGGAGCGACTCGCGAGCGACTCGGCTCATCTACACTCCTACATGAGATTAGGAGATTGTAGCGGACAGATCGTGTTCGGCTCAGATGGTCGGAGGTTCAAGTCGTTTGGATTTCAAATTTGATTATTTAAACCCAATTATATTTTTAAATGTAAATTAACCTTTTAATTTTACGTTCCGTCGGTTCGGTTGGATATCCAAATAGAATTCGCGTAGTATTCATCACTGAAAAAAAGAATTAATAAATTTTAACAAAAGCCTTGAAAGTTGAAAATATATATGATATTTAATATTTTGTTCCATATTTCCAGAATATATACTCCAATACATGTATAATAAATTAATAATGTACTAAATTAAGCAACTTCGTAATTATTATATAAAACTGAAAATCTGAAATACAAAATTACTGTAAGTCTATAATCTAAATAAAATCTGCATATTTACAATTTACACATTACAATAAACTTAGAATCCAACTACTTAGTACTAAGTAATAACAATATCATGTTATCCAAATTCCAAATCGTTACAGATTTACAGATTCATAATTCATCCACAAAATATCAAGGCATCAACCCATTAAGCTATCCATTTCCCATTATACTCCAAAATTCAAAACCTACTCTTATTCTTGTGAAAAGTTAAAAAAAAATAGTAAAATAAATAAGCAAGCAATAGAAAATAATTAAACACTAGATAATTATAAAGTTGGCTCAATAAGTTTTTTTGTCCATATCAATGTTTTGATTAAGGACAAATTGCTACAATAATTTTGGATGTAGCTAAGAAAAGCAACATCACCATGAACATTGAGCAACATACCAGCTCAATCATTCTTTCAGATCATAGGTGGAAGCTTCATCATTGTCATAGAAATGGGATAAACATAATAAAATTTGCCAAATAGGAACATTACCATATTTAAAGTAGTGCACAAGAGGCTTAAGGCAGCAACTTACAAAGTTACCAAGCCTCAAAATAGGGAGTAGTGGGCAACATTACCATTTACCAGTGCAAGGGCAGCAGCAAACAAGTTACTAAGTTTCAAAAAATTGGGATATAGATTAGTTTGCATGTGATAAGACAATTAATTAATTTGAGACACATATAATACAAAGTATAAGGAATAAAATTATTGGAATGGTAGGCAGTACCTATAGAACTACCGGTCCTCCTGCTTCCACCATCAGCACTTCACTCTGCAAAATAAGAATTACAAGAATGTAGGAAGTGTTACTTTGTTCAAATATCTCCAATTCTTCCTGATTTTCCTGAATACATAATGGGTATTTGGCAGCCTAAGCCAACCATGAGTACAAACCAAAGTTTCCATAATTTTTGGAGTTAATGAACTCCTAAAAGGATCTACCCCCCCCCCCCCCCCCTCTCTCCCCCATCCCCAGGTGTATTGAAAGCATATTCTGAGGCAACAATTGAGATTGGTATAGCTAAGGACATCCCTAGCACGCTTAGAAACGGGCAGGAAACCTTTCAGATTTAATCTTCCACCACCTAAGTATATCAAAATAGTTTTCCTCTTCAACTATTACCTTACTTAAGTAAATATCTAACTCAGTTTTTTCTTACACCCACTTTTCAATCTTTGTTTCTTTATTTTGGACTTCAATAAATATTGTGGTATCCTAACTGAGGCAGATACGAACTGAGTAGAATCAGTACAAGGACTTCCAATACCAGATTGAGTAGAAGAAGGAACACTAGGGACAATAGTAGGATTACAAGTGTCAACATAATCATTAAACAATTCAGTCAAAGCAGCAATCACTTTCTCATAGTAAGGTTTACCTTTAACCTCACCATACATATGATTGATTTGAGTTGGCATATACTCTAATTTGTCCCTGGGGTCTAGAATGTTTGCAAAGAAAATCAAAAAATTCATTTTATTTATATCACTGATAAGCGTCAGAATATGCTAGTTTTTAGGAGCCTTTTGAAGGAGTTTTGTGCACGTTTTGATATGAAAGTCTTGCTTTTTAAGAGCAAAATTATCCTAAAAGTACGGTTTGGTACGGAAATACCTTCCTAATAGTATTTTACATGTTTTAGGTGTTTTTGGACGGAAAAAGTGGCAAAAGAAGATAAAAAGAGCAAAGCCAAGAAAAGAGCGCATGCAAGGACCAAACACGCTGTGGCCGCACGAAAGAAGGAAGAAATGTGAATTATTTCCCATTTACGCCAGCCTCACGACGTAAGAGTGGCGTTAAAAGAAAAAGGCAAAAGCAAAAGAGAGTTATACTCGACTTACGAAGGCCTCACGACGTAAAAGCCAGTGTAAATCTGAATTAAGAAAGCCAAATGAAGCTAAGCATGGAAGGGAGTTATTTCCTATTTACGCCGGCATGACGCCGTGCGTAAATAGGAGGCCGAACTGCCTACCCTACCTATTTAAGGAAAAAATATATTCATTTGCTAGGGGAGCCACAAAATTTTAGAGAGAAGTTTTTTTAGAGAGATTTTAGATCTAGAGTAGTTTATATTTTCTCTTTCTAGGTTTTAGCCAAATTCCATTTGATTTGCAAGAAGACTTGACGATTTGGAGTCCTTTGTAGCTTGAATCTTCATCTTCCACTTATCATTGAAGAGATCTAGCTTGCATTTGGGTGAAATCTATTCCTTACTCTAAATTTCTTAGATCTTGTTTTGCCTATTTTTCAATTGCTTGATCTTGGTCTTAACGATGGTTGGCTAAAATTCTAGGGGTTAGGATTATTGTGTAAATTGTGACTGTGTTGGTTGACTTGATTTGATTTGTGATATTGTTATGATTGAATGTTGTTGGCTTGGATGTCATAGTTTCTTGGAAGATGAATGTTTATAATGACTCTTGTATGTGAGTGCACCACATGCTTGTAAGTTTAGTAAGGATTATGTTGTCAAGAGATTGAGACATAATCCTAAACTCTTTCTCTGGCAATTCCCGTCCTAGATCCGAGAGGGCAAGTTCCGGAAAGGAATGTAGGCAAGGTGTTTGTTAAATTTCCCCATAGAAGATAAGAGCACTAGCATGTCACATATCCCTATGGGAGGCGTATATACCGAGAGGTTTCGCGTTAGCGTTACGCACTAGCAACCCATTCCTCTTAACCCAGGCCACAACACTCAACTATCGCCCAACCGATGGAGTAGTCAACCACACAATACAATTAACATGCAATCCTAACCCGTCTTTCTTTCTCTTGTTTCACTTTTTTTTTTTTTTTTTTTTTTTTTTTTTTTTTTTTTTTTTTTTTTTTTGTGTCTGCTATGTGAGGGGTTGGGATTTGACAAGAAACTTGGACGTGAGTTGAGATTGGCTGCGATGGAGCCTTTGACGAGACTTGATATTGAGTGCGCCAGGGTAGTTGAAGACGAGGGAAACCAGAACGAGGAGGATGCACCGCAAGCACAAGGTGCTGATTCTGACATCCCCGAGCATTTTGGGCAAGTCGATAGCTGGGAGACTCTTCGTTGATTCCAGTACAACTTGCATCTAGATCAGACGACCAGAAATGACGCTCGTTGGGATGCTCTTCAGTCCCATGTTGACACCAGATTTGATGGTCTCAGTCCCATATTGACACACAATTTGATAGTCTCCAGGCATATGTGGATGCACATTTCAATGCTCAATTCCCTCAGTTAACCCAAGACCCGAGTCATGATCCTGTGAATTTATGAGTGTTGCTTTGTGATTCCTGAGCTTCACTGAATTTCTGATCTTGAAGCATAGATTTTAGGTACCCTATGTGTGGGGTGCCGACTTTATTTCTTTTACTTTTCTGCAATTTTACTTTTAAACTGCACCTTTGTTTAATCTGTTTTTTTAAACTATCTTTTAATGCTTTGAATAAGTGTTTGATCTCTCTTTTATCTATTTCTTTTAAGTCTATCTATCTAAGTGCTTAGCTTGTGTGCTTAACAGGAAATCAGTAAGAATGCTGTGTCATTCTTACGCATTTTATTTCGCTGCTTTGAACTTTTGCCACTAACGCTTTTATTGCATATATGTGTTGTCCATAGAAAGGCTGGGGCAAAGAATCTTAATGACACGTTGAGAAATCTCTTACAAAAGGGGGTTTCTCTTCTCTCTAATCTTTATCTTTACCCCAGTTCTTGTCTTTAAAGTGTGGAAAGGTAATTTCCTGTGCTAATCGTTGCTAGACTTAATCTTTTGCATGCTTTGTTGTCCCTTGAGTCCCATTGTCCATTCCTAAAGTATGGAAATGGACAACCCCCTTAGGCTTAGTTTTTGGGTGTTTGTGAACAATCAGAGGCATCCCACACTACACTTCTAAAGTGTGGAAAGGGAAACCATGTTTTACCCACCCGCTCTTGTTCCCGCCCTTGCGCCCGCATTAGTGAACATCGAGGACGATGTTGTTCTAATGTGTGGAAAGGACGCACGTTTGTGCTTTAATCTTGAAAATTTTCCGCGTACCATTTGTTGATTGATAGAAGTTGCATGTGATTAGAAAAGAATGAAATTGGTTGCATTATTTTGAAAATGTGTTTTATGATGCTTTGGTTAGCTTAATTTTTGGAATATCTCTGAAAATTACATCTTTTACACCTTAGGGAATGCATAGAACCCAAATAGGGTTACTTTTGTTGCGTGCTTGCATGATAATTCACCTCCTATTTTGCTTAGACCTTAGTAAATGATCTCTCGAAGTGGGAGTGTGCACTCTCCAACCTTGGAAAGATAAAATAAAGCAAGGTCGGAAATGAATTAAATCTTGGTGAGGTATGGAGCAAAAGGTGAGCCTTGGGAGTGAGATTGAAAAAAATTCCAAAAAGAAAAAATCACGAGCGAAATAAAAAGGGGAATAAAGAAGAGAAAAATGCAAGACCATAAAGAAAAACAGTTGCCCAATGTAAAAAAAAAAAAAAAAAAAAAAAAAAAAAAAAAGAGAAAAGAAAGTCAAAGGGAGAGCCATTGCTTATGTCGGGATCACAAAAGATTCCCTCGGGCTTAAACATAGAGATCTATGCCGTGGAGAGTCGACCTTTGGCATAAGGGTGGAGGCGAGAGAGAACCAACGCTTAAGTCGGGACCATGAAAAATTTCCCCGGGTTACAACACAGAGCTCTGTGCCAGAGAAAACTAGACTTTGGCTTAAGGTTGGTGAGCGGTCCATACCAAACCACTCACTTACTTTTTGTACAGGACCTTGGCGATATAAGGATGGATGTCGGTTGGGATGTGCACATCATTCCCACTAGTGTGGCTCGACTATAGGCCTTTGTAAAATAAGAGGTGAATTCCCCACTTTGGATTGCATGATTGAATGGTGGTGTTTAGAGTGAGTCACCCTACCTTGCTAAAAAAAAGTTTGTACTTTCTTAGGGGACCAATTTTCTCAAATATTCCACGAGTTGTTAACTGTTGCATGATTTATACATTTTCGCAATAATACAAGGGATTTCTTAAGCTGGTCTAGCACACATAAAAGAGGCATATGGTACACCGAGAATTTGTTTAGAGCATATCTTGAGCTTATCAGGTCTTAAGTGTGAAATTGCTTGAGGACAAGCAAGCTAAAGTGTGGAAACTTGTGATAAGCATCAAAATATGCTAGTTTTTAGGAGCCTTTTGAAGGAGTTTTGTGCACGTTTTGATATGAAAGTCTTGCTTTTTAAGAGTAAATTATCCTAAAAGCACGGTTTGGTACAAAAATACCTTCCTAACAGTATTTTACATGTTTTAGGTGTTTTTGGACGTAAAAAGTGGTAAAAGGAGATAAAAAGAGCAAAGCCAAGAAAAAAGCGCATACAAGGACCAAACACGATGTGGCCACGCACGAAAGAAGTAAGAAATGGGAATTCTTTCCCATTTACGCCAGCCTCACGGCGTAAGAGTGGCGTGAAAGAACAAGGCAAAAGCAAAAGAGAGTTATTCCCGACTTACGAAGGCCTCACGGCATAAAAGCCAGTGTAAATCCGAATTAAGGAAGCCGAATGAAGCTAAGCATGGAAGGGAGTTATTTCCCATTTATGCTGACGTCACGACGTGACGCTATGCATAAATGGGAGGCCGAATTGCCTAACCTAGCTATTTAAGGAAAAATATGTTCATTTGCTAGGGGAGCCACAAAATTTTAGAGAGCTTTAAGATCTAGAGTAGTTTATATTTTCTCTTTCTAGGTTTTAGCCAAATTCCATTTGATTTGCAAGAAGATTTGGAGTCCTTTGTAGCTTGGATCTTCATCTTCCACTTATCATTGAAGAGATCTAGCTTGCATTTGGGTGAAATCTATTCCATAGTTATCACGGCGCCCTGTTAAGTCGCGGCGCCCCCGACCGACTTGTCGCCTAGGCGACAAGTTAGGAAGAACAATATATATATATATATATATATATATATATATATATATATATATATTAATATATATCTAAAGTTTAAACATGCTAAAGTCTAAAACTCTAAACAATTAAACATATTCAAGTATTCAAGCATTCAACATATTAAGGTACCAAGTTACCAAATACATAACACACAAGTAACACAACTACAGAAGTAGAATACTAGAATAATCAACAAGAGAACAATATCCAAGTTAAAAGTCTCAAAGGTCCATCAAGAAGTCATCAATATTTGTTTCTCTCTCATTGCCATCATTACTATCTTCATTTCCCACTTCATCATCATCTTGAACATCATCCTCATCTTCAATGTCTTCATCATCATTAGGAAAATGCTCTTCTTCATTTTGTTCTTCCTCATCTATCCTAGAACTAGAAGGAGTACTAGTAGAAGCATTGCGGCGTCGTGAATAGCTCAACATTTGTGCACGTGAACCTTCCCCCGCGTGAGCTCTTGTAGAAAGATGAGAGCCCTCAAGGTTGTTTGATGCACCAATTACTTCATCAACATGCCTCCATGAAAGATCACCCCCGGGATGAACATCATCACTAGATTCACCACCATTAATCCATTCATTGTCCCATTGGAACTCTTCTAAGACCAATGGATTAAAGTTGGAGCCTTCTTCACGCATCTTTTGAAACCTACTTGCAATTTTGCGATTGTATTGAACATAGACCAAGTCGTTCAATCTCTTATGCTCTAAGCGGTTTCTTTTCTTTGTATGGATCTAAAAAAGTAAAAGTAGAAACATAAACAAGTTTAAAATTCTTGTATTAAAATTTTAGATAAATTATAATTTCTATAATACTATTTACTATTTACTAATTAGGAAAACTATACTTACAAATTCAAATGTGCTCCAATTGCTCTCACAACCGGAAGATGAACAACAAAGGCTTGTGATGCGCATTGCTAGTGTTTGAAGCTCAATGCTAAGTCCACCAACAGCATTCCACCAATAAACTACAAAATAAGTTTAAGATTTATCATATTTAATATACTTTGTACTTAGTGTCTTAGTATGATAGTATTACTTACGAGGAGTCTTTGCTTTTTGTTGCTTGACTGCTAATGGCATTCCAAAGTCTTTCCTCATGTTATTGTAGTTATCTGCTTGATTGTTGATCTTCACTTGCAAGTCATCATCGTCAATCATCTTATGAAGTATTGTATTGAACATGGCTCGTTGCTTACGAGCACATGTACTATCCGTCGCCTTAAGGTCAAAGTATTTAGAAGGATTTAAAAATAAGGCGGCTCCATATAAATCCACTCCCATCTGATCATCCCATCTTCGTTCTACAATAGCCATCAACTTTCCCAACAACCTTGGCTTGCTTGCAAATGATTCATTGAGCTTTTTCTTAGCAGCCAACATAGCCATCGTAAGCTCGGGCATAGCTAGAGTACTATCAGCATCAACGATCCTCAACACAATCAAAATGGGATGTGATGCCCTCAAGCAATCCTCAACCGCAGTCCAAAATCTATACGACAACACGATCTCACACACCTTTTTACCCGCTTCGGTGTTGGATAATTTTGAGCGAACCCAATCATCACTAACAAATAGAGCTCTCAAAGCATTTTTGTGCTTGTACAAACTCTGTAAAGTGAGGAATGCTGTGGCGAATCGAGTAGCTCCAGCTCTTACAAGATCTTGCCCACCCGTATGCTCTCTCATGGCACTAAGGATTCGCCCATGTCTATAAATAAAAGTGGTAATATTTCTACCACTTGTAATCTTGGACTTGAACTCCGTCATCTTCCCAATGTCCTCTAGCATGAGGTCAAGACAGTGTGCTGCACAAGGAGTCCAAAATAATGTCCGAATCCTCTCCTCCAAAAGTTTTCCCCCGGCTTTATAGTTTGCTCCATTGTCGGTCACTATTTGAACGACATTTTCTTTCCCAACTTCTTCAACTTTTTGCTCCAACAATCCAGCTAACATTCTTGCATCGTGTGACTCACTCGATGCATCAACCGACTCCAAGAAAAAAGTCCCCTTGGGACTATTCACAAGAAAATTAATCAAATGTCTACATCTCTTATCGGTCCACCCATCATACATGAGTGTGCACCCGTATTGCTTCTAAGCAAGTCTATGTCTTTCTTTCAACTTATCAGTCGCTTGCTTTGAGTCCAAAAGGAGGGGTACTCGTAACTCATGAAAGCTAGGAGGCTTCAATCCCAGCCCCCATTGTCCAATTGATTCAACCATTACTTCAAAGCTTCTTGAATTAGCCGCATTAAATGGTATGCCATTCTCATAAAAAAAATCTGCTATATGTAGCATTGTCCTCTTTGTTTCTTCCTTACTCTTCGTACAAGCCTCAATTGTTCTTTGAGTAGGACCCTTGGAATGCCTCTCATCAATTACTTCTTCAGGGGTCTTTCTAAGTAGTGATGCAACTGATTGAGTTTGTTTTCCTACTCTCGGTTGCGGTTCTGCAAATCTCAAAATGGTTTGTTTTCTCTTACTAGCCGTCCCGGAACTTGGATAAGTAACGAAATCGTGAGATGATGGTTGTGTTTCTTCCCTTGCCGATTCTTGCACATCACCATCCACATTATCATCCAAGACCACCCTTGATCTCTTCATTCTTGATGTGCCTTGCATATATTGTTGCATTTCCCTCATAATCTCCGTAGTTGTTTTGGGGCATTTAGCAACATCTCCGTAACCCGCCGCCAAGTGTTGTTTTAGTCTTTTGATTCCCGAATGCATTTGTTTGTGGCAAAGTGAACATTCGACTAAATCTTTGTTTGCCAAGTCCGGCCAAAAACCATACTTCCATCCCGGATCATTTGATTTAGCTTTCCTCTTAGGGTCGGTAGATGGATCATAGCTCTCATTTTCCGAATTTGCAGCCATAATTGAGTGTAATCCTACTGTCCAACCATGAAACAATGTACAATTTAAAAAAAAAAAAAAGTAATGACCAAGTGGCAGGAAGTGAGCACTGCCTCTGCTCATTGCCCCCACGTGGCCATAAGGCCATTAATGGCTTAAATACCAAACAAAGTCAAGATATAGGTTGGAAAACATTTTGCATTCATACACATTCTCAAGTATGAACATAAGCAATCAAGGTACTCAATCAATAGATATACTTTATATACTTCTATATGCTCAACAACCTATACTCATATCAACATATATTAACTCATAAATAATGTTCTTGCATATAACATATACTGGAAACTGTGGTACAACTCTTCTATTAAGCTACTATGCACTTCTTGCAATCATGCTGATACTTCTAAGATAGATAATGAACTGGAATTATACTATCAAGTAAGATTATGCTTTCATGTTATTACTCAAAGTAATGAATGATTCTTTACTTCTTATATACTCAAGATAAGACATATGTTATGCCATAATGTAATTCTACAAATGAAGATATCATAATATATATATATATATATATATATATATATATATATATATATATATATATATATATATATATATATATATATATATATATATATATACACTTATGCTCTCAATCTTTATATAAAAAGAATACTTTTCTTTGGAGGATCTCCGTTGAGTCACTTGACTCACTTTTCTCTTACTTTCTTTCTTTCTTTCTTGCTTTCTTTCTAAACTCGTGGGGGAGGTAGGAACTTCACGAATCGTGAATGCACCTATCCGGGCTCGGTAAATCTGGCCGGCCTAATACTCATCTCGCCCATAGAACCGGTACTCGTGGTTCTTAATCTCTGTGGAATCAGGTATCGTACCTTTAGTGTGCACACCCCCTAACTAGGATTCCAAGCCCATCGGGTAGTATTGAACCCAGCAACTCAGGATTGTTCTACCAAGTTAATTCTAAAAGCGGCCTTCTCTGACCCAATCTTTTCTTTGTTTTGTCGGTGACTTTACCGATCTTTTCTCAGTTTTGTCGGTGACTTCACTGGTCTTTTCTCTGTTTTGTCGGTGACTTTACCAATCTTTTCTCTGTTCATCCGAAAGGACATAATCTTAACAGGAGCCTCCAAAATCGTGGGTTTTCCTCACTTTATAAAAATAACACACACACACACACACACACACACACACACACACACACACACACACACACACACACACACACACACACACACACACACACATATATATATATATATATATATATATATATCACCTGCAACTTCTTTTTCTCATGCTAGTAATCTAAATATCATGCAAGCTTCTCAATGCACACACACACACACACACACACACACACACACACACACACACACACACACATATATATATATATATATATATATATATATATATATATATCGCATACAACTTCTCTTTCTCATGTTGGAAATCTAATTATCATGCAAGCTTCTCAATGCATATAGATATAGATTTTCCAAAATAGATATAGGGATTTGAAAACAGCTTAAGGCTTCACTTTAAGCCTTCTATTGTGCAATAATCTTAAAAAGTGGCAAAATAGACTTTTCAATGCAAAGTTTGGAAAACAGTGACTTATGCAAGAAATCTCAATAATCTCATCTCATCAATTCTTCTATTCATGAGCTAAGCAATGCAATTAGCACAATTACTCAAATAACTCTTGTAAACAGATGTCAACCTGATACTTCATAACTTTGAACTCAATAACCTAACAAATACTCAGGGACCAAATTTCATACTTTGTGTGATAACATGCTTCTACTCAAAAATCATACGAATACAACTCACACTAGCGTGTCGTTACGAGCCCGAGTGTCTGAGCCTCATGGGCTCACGAATCCCAGTCTGAAACAACACATAGCTGAGCCTCAAAGGGCCCGACCTCTCCTCAAAATGCCCTGGCGGATCTTGAGGAGTCCCACCAAGGCACGGCTTGGAGTGACAGATCACTCCATGATCTGTCACTCTGGTCCGTTGATCAACGGACCAGGCCAACGGATCCCCTTTGGGTCTGTTGGCTAGGCCCTCACGGCCAAACCGGAATCTGAGACAGAGAGCTTCTCTGTAACACACCAGATGACACAAACTCCATTTTTACATCTCAGAGCTCAACAAAACATCTCTAAACAACCATGAATAAATTAGCTAACATCATCAACACACAATAAACATTTTATCATGGATTATCAAACATTTCAAAGCATCAAATCTCAAGAAATCTATCAACAAAGGGCTAAAATAATAGATTTGGGAATACATGGTTTATACCTCTGAGCTTTTCTAACCCTATGTGAATCCCTCTTCTTCTTCAACAATGGCTTCCACCCTCACCTCATATCTTCCTCAAACAATAACATAAACACATACAACACCCATCACAAACTCAAACATATACATAAGATGAAAGAGATGAAGAGGATGGATGAAGGGTAAATGTCAGGGGATATGATGAAAATGAAAGGAGGAAGATCAAGATGGATGGAGGAAAAACTTACTGTGATTTCTTTATTCTTTCTCGGACTTCTTAGCTTAGAGTGAAAGAGGAGGGATTGAAGATGATCATATGAATAGTGTGGCTTTTTTATGGTTCGAAACCCTAGGTTGATGTATTGGCTGATAAGGGCATTTTGGTACATTTGCTTCATAAACATCAAGCTCCTTCCTTTAACTTAGCTTAGAGTATTAAAATAGGTTTATACACTCTTGGGAGATAAAATGAATTTCCTAGATGTTTCTAGATAAAAACATTTAGTTCAGATTCCACAGGTTCCTCTCAGGTTTCACTCAGATTTTTGGGTCAAAACTTGATACATGAATATACCCAATACTTAGGATTTTTGAAATAGGCTACTACTTGGTGTTGAATTAATAAAAATCATGATTTAAAATATTTAATTCATACACCTATTTTGGAAAAAATTTCGGAGGAGTAAAAATAATTATTTTGGAATTTTATAAAATAGAATTTAGGAAAATAAATTTGGGGTTGTCACATTCTACCCTCCTTAAAACAAGCTTCGTCCTCAAAGCTAAAGTTAAACAAAGTGAGTGTTTTAGAAGGGAATTTCTCCGGAAAGAATAACTTGGGAATGTTGCAAAAAGATCTTAAGATGCTGCAAGAATTGAAAGTCTGAGCTTAGGAATTCTTGGAATGGTTTTAGAGAGTAGGAATTCTGAATAGGCATGTAAGCACTCATAGTTCTTAAGTACTAATCATATTCCAACTACTAAATGGAATTTACCAAAGCTTAAAGGAAACTTAAACGATTGCCTCGGACCAAAGTCCCTTTGAACACAACCTTGATAACCAAAGCTCAACCTTGCCCCTGATGGGCCATCTCCGAAGGGACTTCGATTCAAACTCTAGATTGAACACTTGTCATCCTTGGGTGAAGTCAGAAATACCTTGATTCATTCTTTTACCAACTAAGGAGAATCATAACTCCACACTCCTTTGTAGTTCGTCCATCACTTATAACACGAGTTCTTAATCTTGACCTTTCTTTGTTCTTGTATCTTTTAACATTGACTGTCGTGCATAGAAGCATTGTTAAAATTCACTATCTCATAATTTTCCTCATTACTCTCCTTATTCTTATCGTCCTTACCACTTCTTCAGTCTCAACACTTTGAACTTCTATGTTTCTTGCATGAAAATTTGAAGGCGATTCATAAACATTTTTCTTCTCAATCAATAGCAACTTGTTATTCTTCACAAGGGTCAGATACTCACAATTTCAATCTAACACAGATCATAATATCCCTTGTTTGGAGTATTAAGTACTTCCCTTATAGACCGTTTACCATTCTTACCGATCACTGATATGTTACATGTAACAAGATCCAATTCTCATAACACTATAATGTTCACGTCAATCATAGCTAATAAACTTCAACCACTACAACCACCACATTTGATCATCATCAATTCCTAGTCGTTGCTTAATCCTCCAACTATCATTAATAAACATATTCAACCCTCATTATCGCCTAGTCAATATATTCATCATTTGGTCTCAATCATC